ATACAGTTACTTAAATATGAATTATTATAATTTAAAACTGGCATTAAAATAATTTTTAAATTAAATTAGTTTATTATTATTATTATTATATAATTACAGATCACATGAGAATCCATATCCTTCAGCATCATCAAACATATTTACTTTTAATACTTCTGGAGCTAAATAATTTGGTGTGCCACATAAATCTAAAAACAAAAGTGTAATAAATGACAAAAAAAGCAGATAAAAAATTGGTAATAGATCATTTTAATGGGAATATTTAGTTTCTGTAGAGATGCAAATTTGAAAGTAATAATTAACTATATAACATTAAAATAACGGTTCTGAACATACTTATTGATATTTAATCAAAGTTGTTTGAAGGTTATTATCATTGTTTTATAACACAATTAGAGAAATTACACAAAAAACCAAAAAATAACCTCATCAAAGTCAAATTACTATTTGGATTAATTCCCATGTATGTTGGTACCTAATTAAAATGGCCATTTGATATGTGTAGAATACTCCAAGTAAAAAGTACCTATCTATAAAGAAATAAATTAAAAAATAACTGTAAAACCAATCACTCTACTCAGAATCTAAACATATCATTACTTATCAACAATTAAATAACAGAATGGAACAAATAACAAATCTATAGACATTTAATATTAACAAAATTATAAGCATATAGAACCTAAAATAGTTATACAGAAATATATCTATTAAGATATATATATATATAAAGACTTCTTACCTAACAAGTAGGTACCAAATTTCAAATGTTGAACATTTATACCACTGACATATGACATAATATTGTAATACATTGTTTGAACTCACCTCTGAGTAATTGATTAGGTTTTAAAACACTTGCAAATCCAAAATCAGTGAGCTTTATATCCAGTGCATCATCGAGCAAAATATTTTCGGGTTTGATATCTCTATGTACAACGCCTTGTCTATGGACATGCTGCAAAGCTTCAAATAATTGTCTCATTATATACCTGGTTTTTTTCTCGGACAACGTTACAACATTGGTTAAATAATCAAACAATTCGCCATTTCTGCAAAGTTCAAATACCAAAAATATGAATGTCTCCGACTCGAATACATCATGTAAATGTACTGAAATTAAATTTTAAACATCATTAAATATTTAGTAATTTATATTAATATAAATTAGATAATACTTACTAATATATTCATGTCCAATAACCATTCTTAGTATGTTTATTTCTTCTAAAGTGGCTCCTCTATTTTCGGGATCATTACTTAGGTCTATAATTTTAGCAGCAAATTCCATGCCAGTCTCTTTTTCTACACATCGTCGTACAGTCGAACTAACACCTCTATAGTATTAAATCATAATTCAATAAATCGATTGAATCATTGATTATGTTAATAACAATTCAATGAATAACAACACACCTGCCCAATATTTCTTTGGGTTCATATCTGGCATAAAATTCTTTGGCTGCATCTTTGTCAGGTAGTTCGTCATCTTTGTTGTCCATTATTGCCAGGCAAATCGTTGATGTACACCGGATGTCTGGATCGGGTTACTCTTCCAAATTAGAGTAGGTATATTAAAGTGGTATTGTGGTGTATTCGACGACCTGAATATAAAAACTTGCACGGTCTGGTGGGAGTTCAAAGGTTTTAAAAAAAAATTAAAAATAAACCATAAGGTTGGGAAATGTAAAATCTGTATAGCCGTGTGTAATATCAAAAAAGAACGAGATAAAATCACAGAACAAAATTATCAAATAAAAAAGATAAGGAAAGCAGTTAAAGTTATTAATTGATAACATGATATCGGGTGTATTCAAATTGTGTAAGTACCATAGATATTGGATAATATATAGAACTATTTTAGCATTGACATAATATAAAATTATATTATGTCAATGTATTTTAGTAGTACAGAGTACTACTGTACTAGTATTATCTATGGTAAGTACCTGCTATTTTTTTATACACATAAGTACCTACATTTATTGTAATAAAATGTTTATACATTAATATGTCAGAGGCGTATTTACAGGGGGGGATAGACCCCCTTGGTGTTTTTTAAAAATATTTTAGAGTACCTAATCTTCGGTGGTTTTTTTATTTTTGTAAATAAAGCAGGTAAGAAAAAATTAATTCATAGGTAATAAATAATAATTAATAAACAAAATATGAACCCCTACTCACTGTTATTGCGTGGCCTAGGCGGAAACTCTATAACAAGCAGGCTGTACAATCGTACATTTGTAATATAAAAACAAGATATTTAATTAATTCATATATTGTAAACTTAAATACCAAAATCAAAAATCAAAATATATTATATAATATTATAATCGAATTATACTATAGTATATTGAAGGAAATAAGCCTATCGTCATTATTATTCATATTTTTAGACGAAAAACTTGTTGATTGTAATTAATTGTACTTATTACATATTTGCCATTGATTATAAATACTAGTATTAATAATCATTAATCAATGATATTTACTAAAGTATAAACTATAAACGTTAATATTATATATTTTATTAACTACCTACATAGGTAGTAACTATTGGATTCTATTTTAATCGTAGTAGCCTTACATTATTACATTAATAATTAATTATAATTACAGTTTAATTTAATTTAATACTTTCAAATTTCAGATTCTGATCGGAGCAATGAATGTATAGATTTTACAGTGCCTTTTTAAATTTTTTTTTTTTTTTTGATAACTTCAGTATCTTGCTCGATGGTGAACTGAATCAAGTTAGTGCATTGGGGAGGTCAACATAATTCCCTGCAATAGCTTCAAAAGCGCCGGGAAAAAAAATAAAAATTAAGGAAAACCGGAAATTTTTACGCGAAACTTTTTTTTGGTTTTTAGTGTACCTAACTCTAAAAATAAAATAACTGTGGATTCATGCAATTTTCACTGAATATTTATATTACCGTTTTCTATACCTACACGATACCATTTTCAAAATATTTTCATTTGTTTTGAACTGTATACGGACATTTTCAGTTTTAATTTTTTTTAATTTTTTTTTCTATAAATGTCAATTCAATTTTATTTGTTGGTTAAGAAAATTTAACACAAAGCTCCAGATATATATTGTTACAATAGTAGTTGAAAAATATTAAAAATACGTATATGCACAATTTTTTTTTGTAAGCATTTAAAGTTTGAATTTTGACAAAATTTATCAATATTAAAAAAGATTTTGTAGTTAAAAATGTGTAAAATGTTCAACTTTTATAGCTAAGGATTGAAAATTTAAAACAAGGTTCCATGTAAGTAGGTTGTTCTGTAACCAAAAAATCTCAATAACATAAAAATGCAATTTTTTTTATAGTTATTTTATGATCAAATTTGGACAAAATTACATATTAAATTATTAAATAACCGAAAATAACGATTTTAGTTATTTTGTTGTATACCTAATTTTATAATATTAATTCAACTTACCGGTAATAATAAGTAATAAATTATAACAATATAAATATAATATAAAGTATCCATACTGGCAAACCGTCACCGCTCAGAATCGTATACAACCAGTGGCGTAGCCAGGAATTTTGTATGGGGGGGGCTAGGTATACAAATACAATGTGTTTTTTATTTTTTATTAATCTTGATAAAATTCTAAGGTCAACACCGGTCAATGAGGGGGGGCATAGCCCCCTTAGCCACCCCCCTGGCTACGCCACTGTAATACAATGATTATATATCATTGAATTCAAATTTAATAGGTAGGTACCAATAGATACACCATCCATTATACATTTATACAGTGACCCACTTGTAACCTACTGTACAGCAGAGCGACATCCACATCCACTTACACACCTTTTTATATACTGTATAGTCGTATAATTAAAATTATATCAAAAAAAAATATGGTGACCTTAAGAAGCAGAAGTCCATGTCAAACCTGGATTTTCCGGGCACTGCCAAGTCTCTGTTTAAAATTAAATCATATCACTCAAACGTTTATACCTATTACCAATACGGCAATACCTACACTAAAATATTTTGTGTGCGCATAATGCCTCAATGTCATCCTCCCATGTTTGAAGCCACCAGCCCAAATGATATAAATACAAATCAATATTTATTTTTGAAGTTGATATTTTTTTTTTTACATAACTTTCCAAAACTGTTTTACATTTTTTTTATAGTTATTCCGGCATCTGGATGCCCCCCAAATATCTGATGCCTGTTGCAAGGACTTAAAACCCTCCGTCAAATCTGACCCTGGCTCTAAACCAAACGGATCTTTAATACCATAACGACTAACGAGTTAATTGGGTTGGGTACTAGGTGGGAAATCTCATAGTAAATTGGAAAATTCAAGTAAAATAGAATAATTTAATTATTTAAATTGAAACTTGAACTCGTACTTCAATACATTTTGGTCAAAAGGTCAAAATGACTTTAAAAAGTGGGTTTGTGTTACCATTTCAAAAAAATTAAGTTATATTGGTTTTATTTGCGCACAATAAGTGTTAAAAATTTGAAAATCGTGTCAATAAATGTGTATTTCAGTATTCTATATAGCTCCTCCTGAAAACCCTATTTCAGTTTGAATCAGTAGAGAGAAATATTCCTCTGCACGGTTACTTTATCCCACAAAATATGATGGTTAGATTAGTTCAAAATATAATATTATTAATAATTACAATTAGTTAAAACTTAAAACTTAAAACTATTAGGTAAAATAGGTAGATACACAAATATTATAGGCTAGAATTTACTAAAAACAAATTTATATTTTTTACTAGATTACCTAATAATTGCCAAATATTGAAATATAAAATACATTATTATTATAGACAATCCTTAGAATTAGAAACTTTATAATATAGAAAGACAAGAAAGTATAAGAATAATTTTATTGTAATATAACTATAATATAGGTAGGTACTAGGTACCTATTTGTTATTATAGGTACTTATGAACTTTGAACTAGCTGATAAAATATTATTAACTTTAATGAATTATTAGTACCTATTTCACATTGAGTTGGCAGATTTTGTACACAAATCTATAAATAAATTCATATTTGTATCACTGAGCCAAGGAATAACATTGTTACATAATTTCAATGGGTTCTGCAGTTCGATTCTGTTGAAACTGCCAAAATTAGTGTTTATCAAAGTTTCACATTTTTCAAACTTCTCAATCTGACATTGATAATTGCCCATTGCATTAACTTTAGATATAAATGTTGAGTAAAATGTTTTTTTTGGAAGTATTTCACCAAGTACAGTACACAGCACATACTTTTGTAATCTGATTGAGTTTGATTCTGAGTAAAATTCAAAAACATAACGAAGTAATTCCAATTTTGAAAGACTTGATTTGGAAGACTTTTTTGGTTTTAATTGATCATAATTAAAACAAATACGTGTATCCCAACCTGATAATAAAAATATACATTCATAGGTATTATTATTATTATAATTTATTTATTAATATTCAATTGGTACATATATAAATATACACCTATATATATAATGTAAATTGTAATTCTATATTATATTTATTACATATTATTTATCTTATAAATAATTCAATAATTAATACCATTACATATAATTGCACAATGTACTCAATGTAGTATACTATAACTATTGCATAAGATATGAAAGATAAATACTAATGCATAGTTATGATTTATCTAATTTAAAAAGCAATCAAAAAATGATTATAAAATATAGATTACCATCACCTTAAATAATTAACTAATTTATATCTCACAATGTCATGGGATTCACATAAATATTTAAATTAAGTTATAAATATTATTAGATTAATCTTTATGTAGGTATATCTGTAATAGGTATAGTTAATAGCATTGGTTATAAATACTATAATGAATAATAAAAACTAAACAATAGTATAATATATCGTACCTATATCAATAAATTAATAATTAATTATTATATGAAAAACGTTAAATAGGTTATACCTAGGTAGATAGCCAGATAGCTACCTAGACCGGGATAGGCGCATTATGTATCTAGTTTGAATTTAAATAAAAATACTCGTGTCTTTTGTCAGTATTCAGTACACACGACCGAAGTGAATAGGTACTTAAATAAATATTTAACTTTGATTGGAAATAAAACATTAAAATCAAACTTGACTGGATTTTCGACTGTTAAGTAATGCTTACCCACATTCAGTACATTCAATAGAAGAGCGATAATAATTTAGAAAAACAATACCTATAGGTAACAGCGGTGTAATACATATTATAACAAAGTCTAATAATTTATGTTTATTTTTTACTCAAACAGACAACTCTAATTTCAAGTTCCAACAATATACGTGAGAACGATTACCTCGTTTGCATTCTGATAAAATATTATAATTTTTCACAACATGCAGAGACGGATTTACACAATTGCCGCCCCTAGGCAATTTTTTTTTTGCCGCCCCATTAAACGAATTTTTAAATACTCATTTAACAATTATTAACATAAGTACTAAAAAAATGAATCATAAAGACTGATACTAAACAATAATTAATGGCAGTTATGTTAATAAACTGTTCTAATAAAATGTGTTTATAAAATATAGTGTTTATTTACCAGTAATTTAAGTAGGTAGTATACTAATAACCAAATATGAAGTCTATCCGCCTTGAATGTTGTGTTGAAAATAATCGAATGTCTAATCAGAATAAACCTATTTTTTACTCGGCCGCCCTCTATTTCATAGTTCCGAAGAAAAATAAACAATTATTACATAATTTTATCTTTTGGATAGAAAAAGTTTTACTTTTGTACACATAATGCATAGTACGTACGAGTATATTATATAAAAATATTCACAGTGACTGGCTTATAATTAGACTATCGTCACCCTTATTCGTATTAAATATATCATATCTGTATGTATTGTGCGTGTAGTGTTTAGTATTTAGATAATAGATCTACGTTCCGGCAGTCGTTCGATAATTTACTTGGACGTTTATTGTTATGTATTATAAAATAAAGAAGAAATTATATTAACAAGAATATTATTATACTTAAATATTAAACTTTTTTTTCCATCCTTCAGAGTAATCACCGTACATTAGAAAATCAAAAAGAAACTTAGAGTATTCTCAATAAAATATTGGCCTAAAATTGCCGCCCCTAAAAATTTGCCGCCCTAGGCAACTGCCTACTTTGCCTGACGCTAAATCCGCCACTGACAACATGTACAAATCTTAGATCATTATATTATAGACTATAGTATCTCCGATAGTATCTATATGATCTAAGCCCTAAGGTACAAATTGTATATTTTGGTTGATTGTGATACCCGCATGCGTTGTCTCCGTCTTACAAATTTACAACATTGCAAAACACTGTTTTGGGCGGGATAGAACCACTCCCTCGGTATTTATAATAGAGTCAAAATTCCACAACTCATAGGGAACAACTTTATCTGTGTCGTAGAGTTTTTATTATTTGGATGACATAAATAAAATTAAAGTTATCAGTTTGAGAACATTAGGATTTTATTTGTTTTTTTTTTTCATTTAATTATTAAAAATTATTGGTAAATGCTATAAATAGGTCTACTGTCTCCTACAGAATATTCACTTAAAAAATAAGCCTCGTGGAGTATAGAGACCTTTTTTATTACTTATATACTTCCCCACCTTTTTAGATTTTTGTTTTTTATATTATTTCATTATTTAATATTTATAAAAGGTTCATATGCCCTATATAATATAAAATTCATAAAATTCAAACATTTTAAAATATGATGCATATTAATATATTATCATATTATTTATTGATTATACTAGTATTTATAATCAATAAATAATGATATTATAAACTAAATTGAATGACATAAAAATATCAATATTTATGATTATAATATACATATAGTCTAAAGGTAATCAAGTTTTTATTGAAAATATCTTATAGGTACCTTCAGTATAAATAGGTGCATGTTTCTGATGCATTCTCCATAAATCTATAATGGGTGGAACAATTTTATATTGCATCATAACATATAAAACTAGCCAAATTAGGGAATAGGTGGAAAAATCATCACATAACAGTTGGAAAGATACAGCCCAATGTTTAACTGCGATGACTACCCAACGCACTCTTTCATCCATGGACAAATATAATCTAATAAAAAATATATATTAGTTTATGAAGTATTAAAATATAATTATAAATCTTAAATTTAAAGTCAAAATTATAATGTTTTTTTTTTTGTTCTGAGAGGAGCGATAAATGTACCATTGTATATACTTATTGGTTTTACAATCGCATATGTATGGTTGTATGGTGTATCTATATTGATTTTTAGTTTGTCCATCTTAACCTTTTGATTTTTGAAGCAGAAAAACTGAACTGATTTAATCTTGAACTTTAAGGGTGGTATCTGGCAAAGGTGGCCTTAGGAGGGTGGGAAAAGAGACCATGGGCCCCAAATTTCAAAAATAAAAATTCTATCTACTATACGTCTATACAATTTAATTTAATATAATATACTCTTTTATTATTACAGTGTCGGTATAATATATGTAAGTCTGAAGTCCTTTCTATCACCTCGGGGGTTCCACAAGGGTTTCCCCTTTCTGTTTCCATTATTCATCAATGGACAAAAAAGTGATTCCAAATTGTAAGTTCTTCGACTTTGCTGATGATCTTAAGATCTTCCACCAAATTAAATCTATAGATTACTGTTTCGCAGATTGAACTACATTTAAACTTAATTAGATTAACTCGAGTTAAAGCAGTACTTAAAGTAGGTATATGGTTTAACTTGATCTAATCCAAGCAAATTAGACTCAATTTTGACAAATAGCTGAAAAAAAATAAGGAAAGCTGAACTTTGGTATATACCTTTATTGAAGGGTACTAAGTAATATACTAAAAGTCCCCTAAGATTTGAAGACTTATTTTTAAGTTTTTAAGACGAATACCTATATACTATATTATAGAAGAAGTAATATTACTTATAAAAAATAATGTCCATACGTTATATTATGTTGGAAAAATATTTACCTTGATAATCACACATGAAATATCATACAATTGGTAATTGCTGTCTTATGACGTCCGTAATTGTGATTAGCACAGTTTTTACTTTGTATTATACTTTTATAAATGAACAATGGGGGACGGAGTGGGCGAGCTGACGCTGGTTCGATACCTTGGCCGCGGGCGGCATTTTTCTTCGGGCAAGTCACGGTGTCCGGAGAATAATAAGCGCCATCCCCCACCCGAACATGGGAGATACCTACAGGTGCTTAAATCAAAAATTCTTCCAAACACACACGTGTAAACAAATCTACAGTACCCTTCCCTACAGTACCACAGAATAATAACCTAGTAGTTGAAGCCTTAACCCTAATAAAAAAAAAAAAAAAAATGAACATTTTTGAATTTATTGCTTTATAACTATTATCTTATTGTTAAATGCACATATATAAATTTTGACCGATGTGTGGTTATATTAGTTATACCTAGTAATAAGTATATATTTATTGTATATCCTATCCCAACAAAAATACTCGGTCAACTCCATGTAAAAAAATGCAAAGTAATAGATATGAGGCGTAATCTAAGTAAATGGTGTAATGTGTAAAATGTATATATAAGTAAGTAGTAACTAATTCAAATTCAATAAAAATTGGTTATTTTTATTAATTTATAATATGAATTATTTTAACTTAAATTGATCTAAATTTAGTTTACTTGGCCGGAAATTCAGTCTAAAAATGTATAGCCAAGTATTAAGTTTATGTAATATATTATGCAGACCCCATTAAAATAAATAAATTTGATTCCGGCCAAACACATTAGACCATTTACTTAGATTCCACCTTATATCACACATTTTATAGCATTTATATTTTTTTTTTTACTTAAGCGTTTTTTTACACGGAGTGTTTTTGTTGGTATATGATATAGGTACAATATAAAGCAATAAATTCAAAATTGCTCATTTATAAATTAAATAGTACCTAATACCTATAATACAAAGTAAAAACTGTGTTAATCACAATTACGGACGTCATCAGACAGAAATTACCAATTATATGATATTTCGTGTGTGATTATCAAGGTAAATATTTTTCCAACATAATATAATGTATGGACATTATTTTTTATTGGTAATTACTTCTTCTATAATATAGTATATAGGTATTTTTCTTATAATCTTAAAAACAACCGAGTTATTTGAGAAAAACTAATTTTTCTTGCACAAAGCGCTCTCTAGCGGAGGTAGTGGTCATCAAATCTTAGGGGACTTTTAGTATGTTACTAAGTACCCTTCAATAAAGGTGTATAGCAAAATTCAGCTTTCCTGCTTTTTTTCCGCTATTTTTTTTAAATTTGCCTGGACTAATTGGCCTCCACTTAAATGTCAATAAATGTCAGTCAATGTATTTTTTTTCGGAGCAGAAATTACATCGTTCATAAGTAATCATAACTAGGTATTAATGATATTGTACAAGTAAAAGAGTAAAAAAGACCAGTAATCTGCATTACCACCCACATATCCAATCGACAAGTTGAAAACTGCAAAGCCTATAAGACATTATAGGATTAAATAATATTTCTTATAAATTTAAGTTTTTAAAAAGTACCTACATCATCAAACTCACAAGACATTTTCGAATACAATTTGTTATACACTTATACTTATACCGTGGGCATGTCGCATGTGGCTGAAGATAACTTACAAATTACTGTAGTCTGTAAGCTATTAAATATTAAAAACACCCTTGTATTAACAGTATGTTACTAACACCAATACACCATAGCCTACAAGAAATGTTTAGTTTAGGCACAGAAAAATAGGTTTTGGTATTCGCGACCAACGCGTATTATCAGATGTGGAGATTGATTGCAAAGAATAATAGCTATTAAGAATAGCTATTTATATTAAGTTATTAATGGAAAGTTTTGTTGCCTAAATCATTGTAAATCTGTTTTCGAAAAAAAGCTCCCACGAAAATTTGATGCCCTGGGAAATTTCCCCCCTTGACCCCCCCCTCTGAATACGGCACTGGCCCAGATACGAAAAGACAATAGTTGAATAGAACAAAGTTATAAACGTTGTTACCTATATTGTATATTATTTATAATACGATTTATTGAAATCTCAATCAACTCAAATAATTATATCTCAATATATAGGTAATATAATATTGTTCTGAATTTGTTATAGGTACTTGATAAGATCCGAGTTAAGCACAGCAAGACCACTCCTGAATTGCAAATCGCAATTAAAATTTGTGGAATCATGTGTAAAACGCACGATCGGTATTCGAGTTTCTGTCATTATTTCTAATCCAATAAATTCTTTATTCGCGGCTTTAACAAATAAATCAATAAGTTGTAGTTGCCGCGTGTAATCGTCTGAGATTTTTCCTGAAAAGCAATCACCTAAGACACCAAAATAAATAATTACTTTAGTTTAAAGTGCCTATTGTTTCATACAACTATAAAAGGTAGTAGGATAGTATAGGTAGGTCAGGGGTTACCTATATATTATATATTTTATAAATACAAATTGTATTTTATTATAATACTCAGTGGTGCAATTTCAATGAAAAATCTGGAGGTGCCATAACCCCTTAATTTTTTTAATTCGTCCCCAAATAAGTGTGTTAGTTTCAAAACGGGGTATGCTAATCACAGACAATACCCCCAAATTTTGCTCATGATTATATACGACGTGCACCTGTTAAAATATTGAACAATATGTTCGACATTTGACACAAATTATCAACTTACCAGTATCGAAATACAAATCTACATCACTATCATCTTTTGCAATGCCATACATACGAGAACCAAAAATATAAACACGTCCACAATTTTCCACACAGCTTTCAATAGAATGTTTAAGTTTTTCGAGCCGTTCTTTGACTATGGGATCATTGTTTATTTGATCGATTGACGTTATTAAACATTCAATTTGATGACAAAATTTGCTTTTATCGCTAAGTAACTCTAAATACAATGAAAATTTTAAAATACAGTATCTAGGTATACCAATCAGTTAGAAGCGAATGTTTATGCCCTAAAAAAGAAATGTATGCAAGCACTTTTGTAAAAAAATATAAAATAGGCATACAAATGTGTTAAGGTTTTATTCAAATTCGATATATGAATCAATAAAAATGCAAAAGTGGGTATAATGGGAATTAACTAGTTAGTTAATTTTCTAATTAAATTATAAACTTAACTAGTTTAATTGACCGTTGAAATAACTTAACTTTCTTAAGTTAATTTCAAAATAATGCATCAAGTTTAAATTTTTTTGAAATTTTTTGTTTATATGGTTTTATACGTAATTATAAATACCTACTGAAATAAAAATAAAAAAAGTCGCTCTGCTGTACGGTAGGTTACAAGTGGGTCACTGTAATGGATGGTGTTAAATTTGAATTCAATGATATAAATATATCATTGTATAAGAAAAACGATTCTGAGCGAAAACGGTCAATCAGACTATGATATAAGATATAACTAAGTATATTTGATGATATTATTGTGAATAAAGTAATTTATATAATTACCTATTTAAGTTTACTACTGTTTTAAATTTTCAATCCTTAGCTATTAAAGTTGAACATTTTATAAATTTTTAACTTCAAAATATAGTATAACCTAACCTATAAGAGCTCAAAGAGTCGAAGTATTTTAAATTTTTTTGGTGTATAGAAAATGAAAATACAGACATTCAGTAAAATGTTTCATGTATCTACAGTTATTCGTTTTTGAATAACAAAACCGCTACATGAGAAATCGAGTGAATATCCAATATTGTAAAAATATGAACTTTAAACGTTCATAAAAATTTAATTTGATTTGCTTGTAGACATTTTTTATTTTTTGATAAAGGTAGATAAACTTATGAGTAATCTTGTATTACATTTTCAAATCTTAAAAATCTTTAAAAAGAAAAATTTTATGAATTCTCAACTCAAAATAATTTTCTAATTTTCGTGATTTTTCAATATTTTGTCAAGATTTGAACTTTAAATGCTTATAAAAAAAAAACTGTGACTAAGGATTTTTAATCTTTTTCAACTACTATTGTAACAATATAGTAGGAGTCTTGTATTAAATTGTCAAGCTTTTTCACTCAACAAATAAAGTTTTATTGACATTCTTAGAAAAAAAGACTAATAAAATTTGAAACTGGAAATGTTCCTAAATAGTTCAAATAAATCAAAATATTTTGAAAATTTTATCGTGTATAGAAAATGCAAATATAAGATACCAGTGAAAATTTCATGTATATACGTTAATTTTTTTTAGAGTTACACCAAAAACCAAAATTTTGTGGAAAACCGATTTTGCGTAAAAATTCCCGTTTTTCTTTAATTTTTATGTTGGTTTTCCCGTTCCTTTTGACAACTATTAGGAATTTTAAAATTTTACCTCCCGAATCCACCATCTAGATTTACTTTCCCATCGAACAAGATACTGCTGAAGAAAATCTAATATTTCTGTTTTTTTTTTTGATAAAAATATATATTTTAATAGATGACTTTAAATTGCTATTTGATATAAAAACTTAATATTTGTTTAATTATTAATTTCGATGTTTTAGTATACGTAGTTTATAATATATTTAATAATCATGTAAAGTAAAATAAGTAGGTACATACACTGCACATTACATTCAAATTTCAATAAAAATTGTTATTTCAATTTAGGAAATTAGAATGAATTCAGTCACTCATTATGTGATCCACAAACTTATTAAAAAAAGTAGATTAACTTTGATTAAACTGAGTTAGGTTAATATTTTTGCTTCTATTCATTTTTAACTTATCGAGTTAAATTTATGATTTCTTAAGTGTTAACTTTTAGCTTATCGATCTTATGTCCTCTTAACTTTACTTAATTTAAGTTAATTATTTTTATTAACTTGCCCACCTTTGTAAAATATTATATTAGGTATATTATATTTATATTGTTATTACTTATTACTTATTATTAATACGGTAGCTGGTATTTGTAAATCATATATTATTCCTAATATGTAATTTCGTCCTAATTTTAACTTAATAACTATAAAAGAACGGTGGTTATATATATTTTTAAATTTTTGGTTACAAAATTAACTATTTATACATGGGACCTTGTTTTAAATGTTCAATACCTAACTGTAAAAGTTGAACATTTTTTACATTTTTAACAACAAAATCATTTTAGATTCTGAGCGGAGCCTGAATGTGTTCATTTTACAATGATATGTGTGTTTTTATTTATTTTTTTGAGTCCGTGTACACGACAAGTAGTCAAAATAATACTTCGATTTTCAACTTCAGTATTTTGTTGGATGGGAAAATGAACCTATTTGGTGCATTGAAGATAAAAATTTAATATTATCAGTAATTACTAATTTAGCATTTTCTATACACAATAACATTTAAAAAATATTTTGACTTGTTTTTATAGCTGTTTAAAGGGACATATTCAGTTTCTAAATTTTTAAAGTTTTTTTTCTATAAATGTCAATTGTTCGTTGCTTCAAAAAGCTGGAAAATGTAATACAATAAGCTCCTGATATATTGTTACAATAGCAGTTGGAAAATATTAAAAATACATAGGCATACATTTTTTTATAAACATTTAAGGTTCGAATTTTGACAAGATTTATCAAATTTAAAATTTAAAAATGATTCTGTTGATAAAAATGAATAAAATGTTCAACTTTTATAGCTAAGGATTGAGAATTTAAAACAAGGTTCCACGCAAATGGGTAAATTTATTTATTTATTCACAATAATATCGTCAAATATAGATACTTATTAATATATCATAGGCTGACTGATTGTCTTCGTTTAGAATCGTTTTTTGTATTTAATGATATATTATATCATTGAATTCAGATTTAACACCATCCATTATAGTTGTAACATACTGTACAGCCATAAGCGCAACTAGGGGGCTTAGCCCCCCCCTCAAATAAATTTTTCATTTGTTCCTAAAATACATGTATTAATAAATCTTTAAAAATTAAACTGTATTTCTTACTTTTTTTGGGGGGGAGGGAATTTGATTGTTTTATTTTTATTTAAACTTAACAATTATTTTATATTGCCTATGATAAATATGATAAATATCATTAGCTGTATGTCTGTATTTGTTTTAAGAAAAGTGAAAACGATTGATGTCAGTATATATTGGTAAGACAATTAAACATAATTTTAATGAATGTGCACTGAACTAAAGTATATACTACAGGGACAGTGAATTGCGGAGTAAAAATCTCCGGAAAAAAACTCCCTACGAACAATCCCGGAAAAAAATCCCATTCATGTGTTTGTGAGTAATATAAACTAATGTTGTAGTCCGAGGATTTTAATTTTCATTACCACAGAATATAATATATAGTAGTAGGTATAAGTATATACTATTATTGTGAAAAAAGAAATATGAGTAAATAAATATACCTATTTTTTTGTATGATTTTTTTTATATTTTTATGTGAAAATACATGGGGGTATGGGTATGGGTTACATTTCATATAATATCAGGTGGGGCTACAGCCCTCACCCCCGATATTTTAGCCCTAATTGCGCCACTGTGTACAGCAGAGCGACAATCTCTGCCATGGCGCAAAACATATTGAATGGTACATGTGTTATAAGTTATAATCAATTTAATATAGGAGTTGAGTAACCACCAAGGTGGATCAATCCACCTTAGAGGTGAGCAAAAAACAATAATTTAAATCATCGATGTTTTTGTTCGATACATCAATGTTTTACCATTGGAATTCGTGTACGATGTATCGAAGAAAATATCGATGTTTTATTCCGATGTTTTGAAATTTTTGTATTTTCTTCTAAATTCTAATTATTTGTATTACAATTTAATCAGTTGATATTTTTAGTCTTATCAGTTATCACTAATATTCAATAATAGGTAAAATTGATGTAGTGAACAATGATGTCAATAGAATAAATAAATAAATTCCATTGAACAATACAATTAGGTACGTTAAAAACTGTATATTAAAATATCGTAAAACATCGATGTTTTATTCGAAATTCCATTGTATCGAAACTTAGATGTTTTAACTTATTTTAATAAATAATTTAAATAATGTTGCCCACCTCTAATCCACCTTGGTCCTTGCAGATAACCCGTATATTATCTACAACAGTACCTGGAAGCGACATAAGCAAATATGCATGCAGTCCTGAACTCCTGAAATGGTTCAAAACAACTGCGATGCCCGTAGAGGATGGATAAATTATAAATTACCATTTATTTCAAAAAAAAAAATAATAATGAACATATTTATTATAATGTTATGAGATCGGGGATTATAAGCATAAGATACAGGGTGATTATTTATGCATTTTCAATCCCATTTTCATCTTTAATTGTACATTTATTTAAATTCTGATTTTTAGCATTTTTTAAGTATAGGTACCTACGTAAAGACCATATTATTTTAAAATTTCTGATGTTTTTTGTACTAGCCACTAGGTACTTAAAGAGTGTGATGTGGCGATACAACCCTTTACTGCAAATTATTAGAGGACGTCATGACGATTTTCTTGAAAATTCTGATGTACCTAGGTGTCCAAATATCGAGATAACTAATATGATAATAGATAATATTTATCCAAAAATCAGAATTTGAATATAATATGCATAATATAAGCATACAAATTGGGTGAGCATGCTTAAAAAATCACCCGGTAGATATACTTCCTTAGTTCAATCTAATAAAATATAAATCTTAAGTATACATATATATTTGTAAACGGGTCTTTAGATTATGTTTTTAAATATTTAGTGAGCCATACGTATATTTCAGTATTTTCCTTACCGTGGAAATGATTCATTTTAAATGATTTCTTCGTAACTAAAAGTTATAAGTTCACACAATAAACATAAAAAATGATGAAAGTATATTTTAAAAAATTAATTATAATACATTAATATCAATAATAATTATAGTACCTACAGTGATATATTGTTTCAAAATTTCAATAATATTCATAGACCAACAAGTTGTTTATAATATATTATATCTATGATAGTATTATATCACGGACCACGATTAAAGATGTTATGGTTGCCCAACGAATCTAGAAAAGTGTCTACCGAAATGAATCTCGATTATCAGCTGGAGATGTACGCACTAGCGATTATTTGTTGTAATGACTATAAAATATGCAATTACCTTTCAAACGTGAATATTGTAGTTCCGTCACTTCCGTCATAGCCACTATGACATAAAAGCGTTAGTGCTTAAATCTCCGGCTGTTTAATTTAACTTTAATACTAATTATAGAGATTAATTTCGGTAGACACTTTTCAAGTAGGTATGCGAATCATGGGTCGATGGGCAACCATACTATTATAGCCGTGTCACGATGTATGATATCAAATTGATACCTATATGACAACATTTTCAATCTATTTTAACGCGTCTTGTTACATAATATTATAATATATCGATAACATTTTTTTTTATGTTTGAAGGTCAAAAGAAGTGTTTGTTCAGTCAAAACCTTTGAAAATTTAATACAATATCAATATGATTCCTCATAAGTTTTATTATTGCTAGGTATTTAAAAAAAATTTTAGTTATATAAGCAAGATTTTTTTTTAAAAATTCTATATTGAAACAAATAATAATAATTTCAGTTATTTTATTGTTATTCAAAAATTTTGTTCGTGGATTCTAAAAATGGACAGTGCTTAGAGAAATAAGTCAGGGGTACAATATAGTGAGCAAGAAAAGAAACAAAGGAGTACAATTTATAGTTCCTTATGCGCATAGGCGTGTCTACGGTGGCAGCCTAGGGTGCCCTTGCAATTTTTGAAAGGTGCCGGTCAACCGAGTTTTAAGTCAGAAAGATTACAACATTTCTTTATTTTTTTAAACTTCATTTTTTTATGGGTATCGTTATAATTACCATCTACTTACAAAGATGTATTTCCTGACTTCCGAAATCAGAAAAACCTACTTTAAAGACTTGAGAAGGACGACAGCACAGTACGCATCTATATATTATTGATATTATTGTTGTATTATTTTAGATTTGTAGTTATGTGGTGTAATCCAAAGCTGTAGATGAATACTATTTCTGAAGTTATTGTAAATAGATAATCTAGACTCTTTTTAAATTATATAAATATTTCATTGTCGAGGGGGGGGGGCTTAAAAAAATACAGTTAAGGGTGTATAGGGCTTTTTTCAGTTCACTAAGGTAGCGCCGGTTATTAGCTATAAGCTGCCCTTACCGATGAAGTCTAGTCACTCCTATGCTTAAGCACTAATTTATATTCTTTGTCTCTCAGTTATATATATAGTTACATTATGATCACCAAGCATTGATGGCAGGGCGGAGTGGAATGTGCTGTCCATTAGTTTAAACCAGCGTTTCCCAAACTTTTTCTCTGCCGGACCCCTTAGAGAAAATAAAAAAGATCGCGGACCCCTAAATAAAAATTTAAATTAAAGCAATAATAAATAATAATACTAAATTGTTTGCTTTATTTTTAAAATTAAATACACATATGTTTATAATGAAAAATTGAATTAATAAAAAAAATGGATAAATAGATATATTATTTTTATAATAAATAATTAATGCGTTTAATGTGATGGATGGTGTTGCTTCTTTAATACTAAATCTGGTATTTTAGGATCTATATTAGAAAGTTGAATATGGATAGGTATACTTTGTAAATTTTTAATTTACGTTCGCGGACCCCCTCCGGTATACGTGCGGACCCCTAGGGGTCCGCGGACCACAGTTTGGGAAACGCTGGTTTAAACCATATTACTATAGGTCATAGGTAACAGTGAAATAAACAAAAATTTATATATTTATATGAAATATGGTGACTGTCTTTACTCAGAATCGTTTTCATATGCAATGGTTTATCATTGAATTTAAATTTAACACAATATAATACATATTATCTAAATTATACAGTGACTTCAATGACGAGGATCACTGAGTACCTACTGTACAGCAGCAGTTCTCCCCTTTTTTTTATAAGATTCATAACTTATAATATTGTATTATATAAATTCATAGACGCAATTTCAACTTTTGACTTGGGGGGGCTGAATATATTAAAGGCAAGCAGACTATTGGAATATAGTATTTTAAAATTGTATGTCCTAGGTTTTTTTTTTTGGGGGGGGGCTACGTCTAAGTTTGAGGGGGGAGAGCTTAGACCTCCCAAATTTGAGCCTATGTATAAACTATAAGTTATAGGGGACCACTGTGTTTTACTGTTTTCCGAAGTTAACAAAGATAATAAAAGGAAAAACATGAGAGCACCACTTCTTTATAAAATAATATATATATATAGGTACTTAAAAATGTAATTATTATTATTATTCAAGTTCTTTTAGATACATAAAATAAAATAAATTTTCTGCTTCTTAAGAAAATTGTTGAATTGACTTTACGGATCAAGAGAACACCAACACTATTTTATTAGGTTAGATTTTTTGAGGATCAATGTAAAACTATAGTATACTGTTAGTGTTAGTACCTTGCTTTAAGCTTGAATGGATAGAGTTACCATACGTCGATACATAGATGTCTGGATTTTACAAAGCTAAACGGAAAATACGAATATTCAATATTGATACTAAAAGTTATGTCAGGGGTCAGATCTTCGTGTTACACTTTGTATAAATGTATAATAATATATTAATATGTGATTTGTTTATGTTTTTTCCCGGAAAGTCTCAACAATTAACAAACTAATTGTACCTAACTAAATCTAATTCATGGTAGATAGCACCACGACTTGCAGTATTTATGGTAAATAACAAATATTTAATTAGGATTTTCTATTTCACTAACATAATACATAAATATAAGTAAGACATTTATAATTTAAGTGGGATTCATTAATAAATTTACTCTGAAACGTTTTATCATGTAGAATAATCAAAAAGAAAAAGAAAAAAATCTATATTGAGTAAGTAGTAGCAAAACAAATTAATGGTAAATTTGTACATGCAGCATAAAATATTAAAAAAAATCGTAAAAACAGTTTAGTAAAATAAATATAGTTATACGTATATTTAAATCAATTTTATTTATATTTATAATAAAAATAAAACATAGTTGGTATATTCCTGAAAATATACTTTTTATTCAGGTACCTAGTAATATTATTATATCATTAAAATATTTCTTGATATAACAAATTTAATAAATTATAAACAAAATCAGAAAATAGCGTTGAGAAAAACAATTTCATATAAGTTAAAAAATATTAAAATTTAAGATTTATATTTAAAGTTGTAATAAATACCATACATATCAAACATGAATTACAATTTTATCATAGCAAGCAAAACCCTAGAATTAGTAATCACTTTATTTGATACTTTCTTAATTAATTTACGTTCCTTTGCATCTTCTATTAAATCAGACCATACTCGTTCTCCCTATAAATATATTTGTATATTTATTTATATTATTACATAAATACAGTAGTCTCAGTAATCCCAATCATATGGAGAATTGTTAAATTATTAGAGTTAGCATTATAATAATTGTAATAAATCATCTATTTTTGTTTGCCTGGCATGGCAATTTTTTTAAATAATATCTAATCGATTTATCAGAATTGTCAGTTAAATTTATTTATTTGTTAAGATAATTGCTCATTAACATAACCTATTTAAGAATAATATACAGGGTGTATCTTATGTCATTGTACGCGGGGTTTTTTGACGATTACGGAACGATAATATGGAATTTCGTTAAAACGAAAAAAGACGTGTTTCTTTATTTTTAACAAGCATTTTTTTTATAACAATTTCAAAATTTTTAAACACGCAGGTGTACCAATAGCAAAATCAACTTTTTTTTTCAAATGGTAACCACTATAATTTTTAATGGGTTCTGGTAAAGCTTTTTTTTCTGAACATTTTGGTAGTCGAATCGTCAATTTTGGTTCGCTAGTTTATTAACTATGGTCCTCCAAAGATTAGTAAAATATGCATTTATACTTTTAATTAAAATAATGGGTATAGGTTTAATTTACAAGCGCTAAACAATTTTTTCTTATAACTACCATTTGATACACTACAATAGTTGAATCGGTAATCTAATGACACCCTTAAAAAAATAAAAAATAACAAACACAATTGTTTGTAAACATACTATTCATTAATTTTATTTTAACATACGATCATAAAAATCAATATTATTATTTTAATTTATTATTATAATCGTAATTAATTACTTTACATTTTTTTCATCACAGTTATTTTTCTTACAATATCATAAATTTGAATTCTTAATTAGGTAGGTGGCTAAGGTAATAATGGTAAATTGGTAAATGTTATTCGATTGTTTACATTAATATGTGCAACGAAAAAAGTGCAATGTTTTGTGGTGCTCTTTTTGTAGTGGTATAAAGTATAAACTTGATATTTTAACCATAAATTCCCTATAATGGTATCGCATCCAAAATATGAACTTAGGAGTTGTAATTCATCCCTTCCCATCCTTTTTAGTTTTGGATATTAAAATAATAATATTGATTTTTATGATCGTATGTTAAAATAAAAATAATGAAGTAAGTTTACAAACAATTGTGTTTGTTATTTTTTTTTTTTTTTTTTTTTTTGAGGGTGTCATTAGATTACCGATTCAACTATTGTAGTGTATCAAATGGTAGTTATAAAAAAAAATTGTTTAGCGCTTGTAAATTAAACCTATACCCATTATTTTAATTAAAAGTATAAATGCATATTTTACTAATCTTTGGAGGACCATAGTTAATAAACTAGAGAACCAAAATTGACGATTCGACTACCAAAATGTTCAGAAAAAAAGCTTTACCAGAACCCATTAAAAAATATAGTGGTTACCATTTGAAAAAAAAAAGTTGATTTTGCTATTGGTACACCTGTGTTTAAAAATTTTGAAATTGTTATAAAAAAATTGCTTGTTAAAAATAAAGAAACACATCTTTTTTCGTTTTAACGAAATTCCATATCATCGTTCCGTAATCGTCAAAAAACCCCGCGTACAATGACATAAGATACACGCTGTATATTTCACTTATATCTTATGGTATTGAGATTTGGGGATGCACTTATGATATCCATTTAAGCAAATTAAAAGTTGCTATAAATAAAATAATTAAATGTATATTAAAATTACCGGGCTATGCAAATAATAATTTTAGCTACAGTAAGTTAAAACATAATACATAAATATTTTTAATTTTGATAGATTATTTAAAATGTCTGTTATTACTTGTACATAAACACAGAAAATGTTATCATAATTTTAATACTAGATGTAAAAAAAATATAAATTTAACTTTTGAAAGATATTATAAACATTTTAGTTTCAAAAGTTTGTGGATGAAAGTTAAAGAATTAAATAATTATGTTAGTAATTTTATGAATTATAAGCATTTTAAACAAAACATTTTAAAATTAATCTATGTTTGGACATAATTTTTAAAGATAATTGGTTATCTTTAAAAATTATTAATCTTAAGTTGTTTTATTTATATTATATCTTTTATCTATTTTAAAATTGTAAATATAATTGTTAGTATAAATATTAAATTTAATATTATATATTATGAATTGTATTATCCGTATTAAAAACTTAACTTTAAAGAACACACTTCTAACACAAGTTTTATGCTTATAGGAGGTGTGCAACTTTTGCTTGTCCAAAATTCTATTTATACAACTTGTACTTGCATAAACAATATAAATAAATAAAAATAAGTAAAATTACTATCAAAAATAAAATAATCTGGTTTACTGGACGTATAGGATGACAGAGGACCCTAGGACAGTGGTCAGAGGATTACAGAAACTACTGTTTACTTGTTAATACAAAAAAATAATTTTATAAAAATATCTCACTCTTAAAGACATAAAGTTTCCACATATTATTAATGATTGCTTAGCACGTGTTAAAGCAACATTCAACCGACAAATATCATCCATAAATCCAACTCCATTAGTTCGAACTGTTGATATCAATAACACGTCACATTCACCACCTTGAAATGAATCTATTGTATTGACGTTTAACGAGATCTTCCTTTAAAAACAATTGTATTAGTAGACAATTAATACATACAAAATTAAAATTCTTACTTTTTCTTTAATAATTTATTTATTTGCTCTCTCTGTTTATGGTAAGGTGTTAAGACTGCAATAGTTAGTGATCGACATTCTGAATTGAGTAAAATATCTACCAAAGTTACAATCATATTTGCTTCTCCAATATTTACCTCACTTAAGGAATATAATAAATTTTGGTCAGACAATTTTTCAAAATGTATAAAATATAATATACCCTGTATTATCTTGTAGACTTTCATGTTCTAGGATCATATATGGATGAAATGACAGTTGCTTCCTCATTTTGACAGATGGTGCTGTTTTAATTTCTCCTTTATAAAAGTATTTAGATGGAAATAAACAAATTTCATAATGCATTCTATATTGTGTATTCAACATCGTTACTGGAAAACTTTTCCGTGTAGAGCGCTTTTGTTCAAACCAAGTCTTAAGTCGTTTGAAAAGAGAAATACCAAGACCATTATCTTTGGCCACCTAAGACATTATTATTTAATTCAGATATGTTATATGTCGTATAGATTCAGTAAAATAGTTTTTAAGAAAAGTGTATTACGTCCGCCGTTCATAACAAAAACCAATAAACCATTATTCTTTCAATATTAATTTATTTATCTTACCTTGCTTTTTACTAATGGTTGAAGTTGTTTATCATCTCCAACCAAAATTAATTTATCAATACCAAGTAGTATAGGAACAAAAACCAGAGGTTCTATAGATTGTCCAGCTTCATCTACTATACAAGCAGTAAAATGACAATTATTCAATGACCTATAGTAAAATTTAAAAATTAAAAAAAAAAATTAAAATAAGAAAAAAAAAATTATTTACTTAGTATTTGAAGGCTTGAAGGCCTCCTCCATTGTTTTGGAAAAACAGGAGTTTAATGTTGTCACAATAACTTCAGTATTTATAAGTATTTCATTTTCAAGATCTTTCTTATTGGTATATATGAACAAATTATTTGATTGACATTGTCGCTAATTAAACAATAATTAATGTTAAATAATTTCAAAAATTAAATCTAATAATAATAACAATATATTACATTAGCTTCATTTAAAGGATTTCCCATTTTTTGTTTGATTACAGTATCCAGCATAACATCAACAATAGGAGAATTTGGATCATATTTTTGGGCACTACCCACTCGTACCACATTGAATTGTGATTCATCTGAAATAATTAATCATAATTTAAGTTTATTTTTATTCTATAAAACAAACTAAATAGAAACTTACGTTTTAAGTCCTTTTTAATTTCTATAATTCGTCTTACTATTGCATCAGCAGCTTCATTAGAAGGTGCACAAATAAGAAGTTTAGGTTTAGTTTTAGTCTTGGCCAATTGTTTAGACATTAAACTTAAAATAATATTACAAATAACATTTGTTTTGCCTGTGCCTGGAGGTCCTATTATCAAACCAACATTTGGTTCTACAGCATTACAAATTGTCACAGCCATTTTTACTGCTTCTTTTTGACTATTGTTTAATAATAAACTCTAAACAAAATCATAACCATAATATAAATAAATGATTATAACTAGTAAACTTAAACGTTGAACTATTTACATTTATGTTATAATTTTTTAAATTTGCTTTTGAAGAATCAATAGAGTAGTTATGAAATTGTGGAGTGATGAGTGCCTTGCTTAGCGAAGATGTTGTCACATTATTTATGGCTTGAAATAAACGTAGTTCCGAGAGTAAATAAAAAATATCCTAAAATTAATAATACAGTTTATTAAATTAGCTGTTATTTTTATATTTTATGTGTATACATTTTATCAGTTTACAAAGTTTTCAATTTTTTTTTTTTAATAAATTGAATGTACCTATAGTTAAATTTTCTAAGTTTAAAACCCAACAATATATGAACAATTGTACAACTGCTCTTATATGGCTATATGCATATTTATGTGGAAGTAAACAAATTAAATTGTTATACCTATATTATGTTTTGTTTTGATAGTCAGTTATATTCATACCAAATAATTTAAAATAAATATTCTAATAAATTTTTTTTAACAATTTTTTTTTTTTAATGTTGATGATAATTATATTGCATATTTTAGTTTGTTTTTAGAGTAAATATTAAAGTTTAAAAGTGGGAACATTTTTTGTACTAGACATTTTGAACCCATTTTATTCGGTACACAGGAAGTGTAGAATAAATCAATTAGTAATGTAATTAAATTAAATATATATATAAATATTTAATGAATTCTTAGACCTTACCATCAAGTGAATATGTGTTCCATTTGGAATATTTTCAGTCTTTTTTGTAACAATAAGTTCCATGTAAAATTGTGAATTTGAGTGGTACCCTACAAAATAAATGACAACAATAAGGTAACTGAATTTAGTACTTTGGAAATCTTTTGAATTCACAATTATTTACCAATCTTTTTTGTCATATTAACATAACCAAAAAAAATGTTTCTTGATTTAGTAGGTTTTTTATTTCCAATAATATCTGTTCCAAAGCAGTTTGACTGTACTATAACAATACATAAATGTCCCTTGAGTGAGTTTCTTGATCCCGTTAAAGTTTCAATGTTCTTATTTGTTCCTAAAAAAAATAATTATAAGAATATTTAAAATATAATATATATCTATATATTATATAAAAGGCAATGTATTGATCGATTTTGACAAAAATGTCAGAGATTGTTCTAAGAAATACCAGGGATGTTTAGAGTTTGAGCACGTTCGATATACAGCGTTAGACAAACTTTTTCTTAAATATTTTGTTGATTACAAGCCATATATAATGGTTATTAATTAGTCATTGTGTTAGTTAGGGAATAGCCGAGGGTATTTTATTTATTCAAATTCTTCGATAAAATATCAAAAATTTAAAAAATAAGTAATTTGGTATATTATATATTTAAGTACGCTATTTATTTTTTTTAATAATGATACATTTTCACAGCTAAGTTTTAGTAGAGTTGTTGAAGATTTTCATTTAGTTTTTAAAATTTAAATTCGTCAAACCCAAGTCCCACATTTTTGTCTATCTCTTGGCATGTTGTATGTGATTATTTGAACATACTCCAGCTCCCTTAATAATAAATACATTTTCTATAACTGAAGATGATTAATTCAACATAAATTATTCATAAACAGTGGTCGAGTGGTATATATATTGTATATGTATAATTTTTATTTTTTAAATGGGCGCTTTAATGTATTAATTAATAAATATTAATTATACAGTGAGACTTCTATATAACAAACTTCCATTTAACAACATTTTCAGTTTAACGAAATAGTTTTGAGAAACAAACCAAATTAGAATCAAATTTATTCAATTCTATTTAAGGATACTTTCTATAAAACACATTTTTTTATGCCTTATGATACTTATTATTTTGTAATATGTAAGTTCACTGTACAAGTTAAAAGTATATTATACAAATAAATTATGTAGATGGAAAAAATGCTGAGTTCATCCAACTGATGGATTCTTTAAAATATCTATTTTTAACTATTTCCTAAGATTACAATAATTAAGAATTCTAGATATTATTAGATATAAATTAAAATAAATAATTTTTTTTATATAAATTAAATCTATGAATATACTATGCAGTATGCACCATCTATAGGTAATAATATTAATCACACTTACCTATACATTTTAAGCACCATAGTGGCTGATTAATAGATTTTAATGCTGGCACCGATGTGGAAAATTCTTTATTGACAGATTGAATATCAAACTTAGGGAGAGGTAAATTTCTAGAAAATATAAATGATATTCAAATTGCTAATATACACAAATTTATTATACAAACAAATTATAAATCCATGTATAGGTAAGTATTTTTCAGAAGAATCAAGAAATTTCTTAACATTATCTTCATAGAGAAGTATTATTCAACATATTAAATAATTCATAAATAACAACCATTTTATTTAAGTGTCTATACTAGGTCTGTCTTGTTGTCGTTGAAGTAGATTGATATATTTACCAAAATCAATTATCAAATAATCAATAATATATAAATATATTATAATATAAATTATATAAATCGAATAATTTTCAATAAAATTTAGATATGATCTGTACTTAAATATTATATTAAATCATAATAAAATGTTGATAGGTATAACTAAATATAAATATTTAAATGTAATATTCATACTTTGAAGATTTTTCAAAAATTGATTGCTCCAAATTAGGGTTTCTACTAAGTACCATATGATATGATTCACTTATTTTCGACCAAATTTCATGGAACAACACTGAATTCATTGTAGAAGAATATTCAGACGGAGTATCAAATTGTTCTTTCATTTTGTATATACTTTTTACTAATGGTGGAGATGCATCAGCAAATTTTTCCTCCTATATAAAATACCAAAACAAATTTAATAAAAATGTCTCATATAAATATGTAAATTATTTTTTTTAGTCTAACTTACATACAACCACACTGCATTCCACTTACATATTCTACTAAGCGTATCAAAAAAAGCAAAATTGATCACTTTTGTAGTTGAAGAATCCACAGTTTTATAATTAGAGAATGAAAAATGTTCTATTTGATTGTTTATGGTTGTTATTTCTTTACAATTAAATCCAACTTTTTTATCAACCTCTAGTTTAGGTAAATGAGATTTTGATGTACTCGGAATACAATTATCATTATTAATTTGTTCCAACCTAGATATTCGACTTTTCTTTTTTAATTTACCAATTGTTGAAGGCTTATCATTAAAATTGTCATTAGTTGATGCATTTTCATTTATTAAGCTATTTGTATTCAACTTGTTTAGTCTCATTTGTCTTTCTAGAATAATTTGTTTATTTTGATCAACAATTACTTCCTCTGCTTTCTTTTTACTGTGGATTATCTTTTCTGATTTAGCTCGAGTTTTTATTATGTATTCATTTTCAACTAGTAACTTTGTTTGGCCTCTTTTATTAACTTTCATCGGAAAAGGTTCAATAATTTTTGGGCATTTAGATTTACTATTATAATCACTTTCACTATCACTTGAACTTATCAAAGTATTTATATTATCTGAACTCATGTTGGGTGGTATGTAAATCACATCATCTATATCATCTCTGGTTTTTCCATTTATTTGACATTGAAAAGACAATTCTGGAAAACTTAAATTATTTTCTATTTTTGAAGTAGATGGACATGAATGTTTAGTGGATGATGTGTTAATTTGTTCTTGTTTTTCAATTTTAATGTTGGACGTTTCCAATCCATTGTCATTTATATCATTTTCTTCATCTGATATACAATAAACTACACTATCTTCTTCATCGCGATAAGTTCCTTGACTCAATACATTATTAACTATAGTAACGGGTTCTATTTTTATTTTCACAGAACTAGATATATTATCATTATATTTAGAACAGGATGGTTCTGTGCTATTTGGAATTATTTTGGGATCTTCAACTGGTAGTTTTTGATCATCAAAATTTTGATAAGTCTTGAAAAAAGCATTGACTAATTCTAACTGATTTTTAAGTTCTGCTTGTTGTAAATTATTTGGTGGATTAGTATTTGCATTTGAAAATGGTTTCTTTAATAAATTCCTTTCAGATTCATTTGTAACTGAAAATTAAATTATTTCAATTTTAATTGTTTACTTTGCAGATAATATAATAAAATTTAAACTATATAATATATATACCAATTTGTTATAGTACATATAGTTTAGTTGTTTAGTAGATATCTTGTAACAAATAATTTTAATAAAAAATAAAAATATGAACATTTATTTTCAATTTATTATTTATCATGTAATGTAAAATAAAGCATGTGGGACATGGGCCACGACAAAATCGGATGAAGGAAAGTTAGGAGTGTCCGAAAGAAAGATCTTAAGGAAAATCTTCGGTTCAAAGAGAAATAATGATGGAATATGAGGAGAGAGGCAACTGGGAATTGGATGGTCTATACAAGGACCGTACCATTATTGGATCCCTGAAGAGCATGAGGATAAGTTGGGCTGGACATGTGGGAGGTCAGAGGGAATGATTGGATCAATAACTAAATGGAAACCTGACACTAAGAGACCTCGAGGACGCCCCAGACAAGGATGGGTGGATAGAGTACAAGTAGACTTGAAACTTCTGAACGTAAGAAACGCAGAAGAATGTGCAAATGATAGAGAGGAATGTAAACAATATTATGTTGCGGCAATGGGCTTTAAAGACCTGTAAAAGTCCAGAAGAAGAAGAATGTAAAATAATAAAATAAACGAAGAATTGACACAAACATCATACATTACATTTTTACAAGTAACTATAGTTAGTGGTTATGATAAATAGAAAAAGGAAGAATCTTTATAATTTTTTTTAATATTTAAAATTTAATGATTATTTTATAGCTATTTTTGATTATTTAGTGTATTATATAAAATAAATACAGACCATGGAGTGGATAAAGAGTTTTTCATCCCCATTTACAATAAAACTAACACTCTTTTTCAGAAGAATATCTAGTTAAATTTAACTAATTAGATGTCTAAAGCCAAATTGTTATGAAACGTGGTACTATATAGTACCTATCTAACAGCAATTTAATAAAATTTATTAAAAATAAATAAACAAACGCGTCGTTTCATTTTTCGCTCCGATTTATTTTCCACCCACACCTCAAGAAAGAAGTTTTACTTCAACAATTATTGGTTGCAGGGTAACGATGTGCACGGAATCAGCTAATAAATGATAAATATCAATGTCAACAACTTGAGACTTCTAATTAAGAGACGACAGTTATTATTTATTTAAGTGCCAGGAATAGTATTTTAGAAAAAATGTGGTTAGCTTAAATGTTGTTTTGGATTTATATTAATTTATTGTATTTTTTATTCTAATTTTATAATCACTTATTTTTTATTGTTGGCCCTCATTTTCAAAATTATTCAATATCAAAAATAAATATTATACAAGATAACAAAAAAAAATTGACTCCTAACCGAACCAATGAGACAATGTTAACTAAATTTTACTACTAACAATATTTTTGAAAATAAAGAAAACCATTGACAATTTTCCGATAACGGTCGTCGGCATAATATGATATTATGCAATAGCTAAATGTGTGAAAATTAAATCTATTGATATTTTATTTTTATAACAACAGTTTTTTCCACCATTTTGTAATAACTATAATACATGTTGACAGTATGCAACAAAGCAGTTAATCTACTTAAAAAGTTAAAAATTAAATAATAATTACAAGGTATTATTTGTTATTTGGAATTGATGTAATGATGTCTCAAATTTTTAACAATTTCAAAACCAAATTTATTTCAAAAAGATATAAAATGTATTTAATATAGTTTTTTTTAATGAATTATATAACAATACAATAAACTTGAATTTACAAAAATGTACTTGATGTGTAAATCCATAACTCAATAGCAACGAAAATATGTTTATATATTCATTATGTATTTTTCTATTTTTATTCAGAATGATTAACATATTTAAAATACAGCCTTCACTGGAAAGCTATATCTAACGTGATTAAACTCATATTCAAGTCTCAGAATATCTAGAGATATTAAAATTAATATGTACTTATAAAAACGTACCTAATTTTGGAATTTTTACAGCAGTCGATTCATCATCCAAATTTTCTTCGCAGAGTACTTTCCTTTTATTATTATTCTACATAATTATTAATATGTATCTATTATTTATATATTTATATATAGATATATGTATACTAAAAATTAAAGAAAATAACGAATTATACTTACACATAGATTTGAAAAATTAATAGTACGATCTACTTTATCAATATATTGTAGAACGACTCCTTCGTCACCACTAGCTAACACAATCATATCTAAATCATTCAACTGATGTTCTTCAAATTGAATCAAATTTATATTGCCAACAATAGTACCATTTGATGTCTGAAAAAACAATTATGTATTTTATATAAATATTTTAAACTCAATTACAGAATTATTTAAATTAAATAACTAATAATAATAACAATATAAAAAATGTTTGATAATATTAAGTCCATTTTCTCATATTTTTTAGGCTTAATTAGGGCTACATTTTATTATAGTCTAGTTATGATTAGTTTTATAGTATAATTTATGATTTAAAATTATAACAATATTAAAAAACGATGATGGATAATTTTCGAGTTATTTTTTGACCATAAACTACAATCTAGTAATCTATAAAAAGTAAATTTTAACCAAGTTGACTGTTTATTACATGTAATGTTTTTAAAGGGTTTATATTAGGCCACAAATGCATACTATCCACATATCTAGTATAATAAATGTTTATCTCAAAAGCCATAGCTTGTAAACAATATAGACAGCCGACTTATAAAATATTGTTAAAATAAGGATAGTTATTTTTTAGATTTTCAGTGAAGAAATGATAGTAATGCTATTAGATTTGTGTTTTTTCTTTATTACTGAAAATAGTTACACAATGTTTTTGATCAGGCACATACCCAAAATATCTACAGGCCACCCCATTATATAGTTAAAATAACCAAGGCTAAAATAATTGAGTAAAAAAAGTTAAACCATTTTCAAAAATGTCTATTAATATATAATTATATGTGATCTTACAACAGTTACAAATATGAACAAAAAAGTTTGTTGTTTGTTGCATCAGATGTAATTCGATTTACGAACAGCATGATCTGATTGCAAGAATTCAGAATAGAAATCATTTATTGATACTCGTATATATAAAACTTACACCTAAATCTTTGATGTATGCGATATCTTTGGATTCTTTTTTTTCAACTCGTAAGTGGCAATGAGTTCTTGATACATTTAAATTTTTGAGTATGATATCATTGTTTAATCCTCTTCCAATAGTATTCTAAAAACAATAAAATATAAAAGGTTGAACAAAAATAAGACTAAACTTGAATACAAGTATTCTGAAATATCAATCTAACTCAATTAGTTTAGGAGTATACCTACATAGATTTTTAAGATAAAATGTAAACTTAATTACCTCTACTTTTATAAGCATACAAATTTGAAACAACAATTTGTTCAAGTTAAAAATTTTTAGTTAAATATTTTGTAGAATACATTTAAACAATTTTAATTTAGACAAATGCAGATTTTTTTACTTATGATGATTCAATACTTATAAGCATAGGCTTAATTAGGGGGCTTGAGGAAGGCTGAGCCCTCTTGACATAATTCCTATATTCCCATAAACGGTAGCTACTATATTTATACATTTTAGTTTTTTATTAACATCTAGTAATTGTTTTTTTTGTTTATTATTGTATGTGATGGCCCTGTGAATGATGTACCATGTTGTGTAGTTTTTTACTACCCCACCGGGAAGCCATTTGACGCAGCTACAAGGGCTGTGGCAGGTCTTGGGAGAGATATTGAGAATTAATGCATGGTACAGGATTTGAATCTGCGAATTATGCGCCGGACTGCCGGAAGCGTAACAGTGAGCCACCACAATCTTATCATAATAATAATCTCGATATTCTCCCTCTTGGCCCAGAGTGGCTAGAGTGTGTATAGTTGATGAGAGAACACAGGCACTAGGGTGTGTCAATACTACATATAAATTGTCAATAAAGTAAACACAAAAATAGTCATCACTCAGAAGAATAGAAAATTTTATTTTTATAACATTAACGTATAAATGGTGATAATGACTAATAAGTAACGATGATCGGAAGGCATTTCTAAGTTGTCTATTATAGCTATTGAAAGAAATTTATCAAATGTTTTAAATTGGGAATATATTCAAAAAAATTGCTAATATTGGGCTTAAACTGTACCTAATGACTAGTGTATTATTATTATTACCCATATACATTTCTTAACATTCACTTATATTTTAAGAAAACTAAAAACTTAAATTTGTAACTAAAATAATATCCTACTAATATTATAAACGCGAAAGTTTGTGACTTTGTTACTCTTACAAGCAAAAACTACTGGACCGATCTTGATCAAATTTTTACACTGCGTGTATTTTAGTCCAACTTAAAACATAGGCTAATTTAAAAAGGAAAAGGACCAACCCCGGGAGGTGCTCAAACGGGAATTTTGAGATTTCAGATGGAAATTTTTGTTTATAAATGGTTGCCATGGGTTTTTAAGCTATTATAATAACAATAAAAAAAAAAAAATATTTGCTTTACTTTTTAAATATAAATTATATTTAATGGGATTAAATAAATTTTAATCAATATTTTAATCAACCATGGGTTAATGGAATTAAGTTAAAACGACAAACTTGGTACAACTTTGATACTTTAGAGTTAAATCATACATTTACGTACAAACAGCACGGGGTCCGCAATCTACCAAAGGTAGATTGCCTACCTGATAATGTACTGCTGCAATTCAGAATTTTTATTCCGGACAACGGAAAAGTTAAGATAAATTTTGAACACCGTACACCGAATATTAAATAACGAATTGAACAAAGTTTGAGTCATATAGAGTTGATACATTTAACGGGCATCGGAGTGCACGGGATCAGCTAGTATTTTAATAGTTTAATGTTTACCTCTTCATTCCACTTTTTTATGATTCATACACACACTCTATAATAATAAAATAAAATAAAATATGAATTGTCGTTTTATTAAAAATTAATGTAACATGCTCATCATCAAAATTATAGGGCTGAAGTCCCCACTCACTTTAACGTCTAGTTACCCCAATGCTTATAAGCAGTGTTTGGAAAGAACGTAGTGAACGATACGTGAACATCACTCGGTTTTTGCAAATAGAACATGAACGTGAACGATTATATTTTTAATGAATTTGATCGATTTTTAAGACGTTCAATTTGTTTACCATTTAATAAATATTTTATGTATAAAATAAATAATTTTTTATTTATACCATTACCATTCCTATAATATTTGTTTGATTGCAAAATATATAAATTAAATACGTGAAATTCTAGTGTCCCTGGCTAGACATACAACTCAATAATAATATTATGATTTCCATTAATTTGTAATAAACTTAATCGTTTTATCATAATAAGTACCGTAGTATTCGCTTCATTTTATCACTAGGAAATCTTTATCAAAATGCAACTCAAATAACGTGTCAGATACCTATTAAAAATTAATTCAGATACTTTAAAAATTGTATATATGCTCTTAAGTCTAAATTGTGGTTGAGTCGTATATGTTTATGGATTTTTAATTTTTATATTGACTGTAGGCTAACAATTCATAAAAAAAAAAATTAAATGAACAACCCAATGAAAGCGTTTGTTTTTTAAAGAACGTGAACGAGTTCATTTTTGTAGTGAACGTTCCGAACACTACTTATAAGACTAAGTGTACCTACATTTTTCTAATGATTATTAAGCTGCATTAGATATTAAATAAAAAAAGACCTAATACATCTAAATAGTAAATATTACATAAATTGTTATGAAATTAATTAGTAATATCTATAATAGTATATTAAATGTAAATACGTACCACTCCATATTTAACTTTATGTACACTTTGGGAAGTATCTTCAACGTTTCGAAGACATTTAAGAGCACAACCAGGCATACATTCTTCAATATTTTCCATTTTTAAATTATTGCAATCAGGCACTAAAAATAAGAAATGCCAATAAATATCTACAGATCTTATTGAATATTAGGTATATAAGATAATACTTTTTTTTTAAATTTCTATAGAGTAGGTACCTACAGTTAATACATACCTACTTAATATGATCAACTCTGTGATAGATATCTTTAGTACTACTCATATTATAAATTAACAAAATAACACCAATTCAAGGTGTGAATGAGGTTAACTTGAAACTTTGTAACTATTTTCTATCATACACCCACTGATCATTACAAGAGTAAGTACCTACCTACTCACGCACTAGGGTGTACATTTTCTGATTGCGTTCCTTGATCTTAATATTGTAAGTAATCAAAAAAACCGTTTACAAAAATGTTTGATAAACTAATCATAAAAATAATAACATAATATACCACAAACCAAGTTTTTAGTTTTTAAGTTTACTTATTTTATTAGATTTAGATAGTTTGTGAATGTGTTCGTAATTCGTTTAATCTTTAATCTCTATTCTATGGAGGTAGTGGGTACCATACATAAAGAAGTAATATTTAAGTCACAAATTAAGATAGAACTAAGATAGTTCGTAATTTAAGTGCAAAATTAAGTGGAAAATATTTATTATTTTTTTGTTATAATGAACTATCAACTATAGGCTATAGCACGGAACAATACGATTATAGCGGGAATCATGAGAAAATAGAGTGGGAGCACATTATTACTATTACTATCATCCAAATGATAACTGAACAAAACAATAATACAGTCATGCTGATAACATATTTTGGAAATCCCATGTGTTTAAACAACATTCTATAGAAGATAAAGTGAAATTTCCCGGACCTTTTCTTCTAAGGCCGTGGTTCAAACCCTAGATCACCCCAATATACCACAAATTCGCTAAACTGGACCGGTTTAAAATAATTATCCCGCACGTAAATGATATGGTCCAAAGTCCAAACTCGAAAACTTCCCAGTGCATTATTTTTCACACCGGTAACCGGTTTATTCTAGAGACTTTAATCAAACTTTCATAAACATGCATTGAAATTGAATATTTTTGTTGTATTTTAATTTTTAAACATTTTTTACCTAACACAAGACCGCTGCCCTTATCATATCATATAAAATTTATCTGACCAATTACAATTATTATTTGTTTTTCATTATTTTCGAAAAAGTTACCTAAGTTTCTGATACCTACCTTTTTGTAGACGCTCATGTTCACCAAATCCTTTGACTACCGCTGCCCATTTTTACCATTGTTCTGCATGACTGCACGCCAGCATGTAATGGCGTTGACTATTTGTACGATTTTCAATTCACGCGATGTGGTTTTCAATGAACTGTAGTATGTAATCTATTCATATCTATTACAATTTCATCCGGTGTATCGTTTGAAATCGATTTCACAATATTTCGTGAACTCCCAAGCCACTTCTCGCCGGCACATAGTGTTCTGAAATATACCCAATCAGAAAGTTTACAACTGATGTTAAAAACACGCATTGTTAACAACCTGTATACTATTATAATTATAGTATGATATAATAGGTATAAAGTAAAATATAGTTAACACACATATGATTGAAATTTGAAATAAAAAAATAATAAGAATTATGAGATTTGTTTATAATGTTATCCATATTCGATGTATTGTCTGGTATAATAATGAGTAATTGGCACTAATTGCAGTGTATTGCATGGGAATACGGTATTATACACATTTAAAATTTATCATAATTATATCACAATACTACAGGTCTACGGAAGCTGAATAAACATACATATTAATATATTATTATGTACATATCAATATATCATACACGTGCAGTGAATAAGGTGTGCAGAATAATTTTACTATTTTAGTAGGAATACCTCTAATGGTTTTAAATTTTTTTTTTTTTTTTTTTGTAATTAAAATATTTATTCAATCTGTTTCAATACATGAACAATAAGAACAATTGATGAAAGTAAAAATAAAATAAAATAAAAATAAATGACAGATTATCCCGAATGTAGAGGCCTCCCAGCGGAGGTACTACGACATGAGTAGGACTAAATTAGGCTAGCAGGTCGCGACACCACTGTCTTTTAAGTCTTTTAACTGGGTTACCTGGGATAGAAGCAGATGATAGGTCGGAGATTAACGGATTCTTATGGTGAGCTAGGCGGTTATTGAAACGTTTATAATGAGTTTTGGCTAGTTCAGAGACAAATGGTATTTTGAGATCAGTGTGGATCAGTTTTAAATTTAATCGACTATTTAATAGATTTTCAACTGAGCGAAAAAATAATCGAGTGTAAATTCAGAATAATGTTTGTATTTTTATACAAATTTCTTCAAAACCATGAAAATGTGCAAATTATTTTGAGTTAGAAATTTATAAATATTTTCAATGTACCTATATTGCAGATTTGAAAATTACCTAATTCAAGATTCCCCACAAGTTTTCCTACATTTAATAAAGAAAAAAGTTTACCAGAAAGTCAAATATATTTTTTATGAGTGTTTAAAGTTAGACTATGGATCCAAATTCGTAAATTAACAAATTCTATCAATAGAACAATTTTCTTATTTTGCAGCGTAATTCCAAAACTATTACCCATAGCCAATATAGGTACTTGAAATGTTCACCAAATGTTTATTTTATCACTTTTATAGGTGAAAACTTTTTCAAAATATTTGGTCTCATTTTGAGCTATTTATAGACATCTTCAATTTTAAATTTTTTTAGTTTTTTTTTTTATAAATGTCAATAACATTTTTTTGTTGGGTTGGGATTCTTGAAAATATAATACATGGTTCCTCGTAAGTTTTTATAATAGCAGTTGAGTCTATCCAAAAGCATAATTTTTTTTATAAGTATTTAAAGATCGAATTTTGACAAAATTCATCAAAATCTCGAAAATATGCAAAATATTTGTTGTTAAAATTGTTTAAAATGTTTAATTCTTACAGCTATAAAGATTGAACATTTAAAATAAGGATTCTCGTAACTAGTTCATATGTAACCAAAAAATCTAAAAAATATATAAGCACAGTTATTTGTAATAGAAATTTCAAGTTCAAATCTGGACGAAATTTGATACCTATTTAAACAAAAAATAACTATTATATTTCACATAATAAGTCGTTATACACAATAACATTGTTGTATACACATTCCGTCATTACTCATTACACAAAATAATATTTTTAAATATAATTTTTTCGGTAAAAATTAATTTTACCTATTGGTAGACTGTAGTACTAATGTCTAATAGTAAAATAAATTACTTTAATTACAATATTACAATAATATAATAAAATACAAATATACTTAGTTATATTATAGGCTGACAGACAGTCTTCGTTCAGAATCGTTTTATATTATTGAATTTAAATTTAGTGTATCTCGTTATAGAGACCCATTTAGACACTTATTTAGGCTGTACGGCAGGGTGACTTCCCCGGTTTTATAGTTTGCACTTTACATAAAAAAAAAACTTTGATGTAAAGTTGTACATCTCGAGTGAACCTCTCATTGAGTATGCAGTGACTACTGTAGTACTGCATGTCTAAATTTTTAATAACCGAGGTTACCAAACATTTATTTTAATAATATAATTTATTACTACAATTTTAACAGATGTTCGTATTTGTTTGTTTTTTTTTGATTATTTAAAAAGAGGAACGAGAAATGTCTTGTTTTGACCCACCTGCAAAGCACAAAGTATGGCTACTAGAAATCCAGAAACCTCCCCCAAAATAAATATTTTAGGCTCTCAGCAGAGCGATGAATATCCATCGATGTTACTATGATAATAATTATGTGTTTTTATTTTTAAAATAAATTATAAATTTTTTATTTTCTGGCATCAAAGTGGATCTATAGTTTGTACTTTGATACCTAATGTACAACAAAGCGATTACTTATTTTGTCGTACACTCGTACATTTTACCAGCAATTAAAATTTTTAATATTATTATTATATAACTAAAAAATTCAAAGTAGGTATGTACAATTTTTCGCAAGGTGTATGCACGATTTAGTATAGTATATACTTTATAGAGATACAATGTTCGCGACAGCCGACAGTAAGTAGGTATTACTGTTTTAGCTTTGGTTTTTTACAACTACCTACCTATATTAAATAATAATTAAATAATACATATATTTGCGTTGAGGCGATAGAACATTTATTACATAAGATATTAGATTAGATACATTGGTTAATATAGTTATATATTATTTTCATAATATTATTATGATTATTATTAATATTATCTTCTAAAGCTCTAATTCGTGAATCACTTTTTTCAACTTCATATTTTCCGCTTGTAATGTTTTTGCCTTCAGCATTTTTTCCTGCCTCACTATATAACATGATTAAAGTAATGAAATATGTTATAATATTTTAAACATCTATATAATATTAATATTAATATAATATAATATTGATTTACCAACTAAAATTCTATAATAATGTCCAAGTTCCTCGTAGTACATTTTCCACGAATCAACACTACTTGGAATATGTTTGATGAGTTGAGACCAATATTCTTGTAAATCATTTTCACTAATTTTCCACTGTACAAAGTTATATTCTTTTTTTAATTTATGGTATAATGACCTTGGTTTTGAGAAACGTGTTGATTGCGATTCTTTTATTAGCTCTTTCATTATATGCATGAAATGCTTGTTGTCAATGAATAATTTATGATTCAAATTTCCACATCGAGTATTGTTAAGTGATGTATTTTCTAAATACATTTAATGGATAAAGTCATAGAAATATATTCTACTTTTTAAATCTAAAATGACAATTTAGTTTAATTCACATCTAAATATTTTTATTCAGATATAATTTTTTTACCATACAGTACCTATTTTATTAAAAGCTACAATTTTTATTTAAAACACATTGATATATACGAATAATTATTAATATACAATGATATTAACAAAATTACGAGATGAGTATGGATATATGAGTTAGGTATATTAATTAAAACACAATTCATCAATCATTATTAATATTTTAACTGATTTTTTATTTTAGTATAATTTAATCCTCAAGCTATACCAAGTAAGTACATACCTTTAACTAAAATTGTGGAATATTTATTATTTTGTTTGTCATCAATATTTTCAAAAGTAATATTGTTTGAACATGCACTGTAAACCACAAATAATTAATGTAATTTTTACTTAAGTGTTTCAGCATTTGTTAATTAATTTACTTTAACGGTAATAGCCAATGGGTATTTTAAAATAAAGCAAATCTGTAAGTACCTTTATGATAAGTAAAAAGTGGATAGGTTTAATCAAT